TGCTAGTAGAATTTATACATGCCTGGATGTACGAGGCTACAATGTCACAGTGAAATTTCAAAAGCTAAATTTGGTTGAAGAAGGTTTATGCTCCTTAAATCCTATAATTTCTATGTCATTCTGTACTGTCAGTATTTTCTCTGTGGTGGAGTGGTGAGATTCTAGTAAACCCTGTTAGTCCCAAATGTGTTCACATACACGCCGAAACAGTGGAATGCACAGGGATGGTATCAGGAACCTTCTCAAAGGAATGTTTGTTGGGATCGTTATGAAAGTTGCCACGAGATGGCGTGTACGTTTAAGTGTCTTCAGATTAAAGATGGAAGCTCCCATCGTATGTAGTAGCAACAACTTTTTGCAAGACAGAATAGGTAAGCACTCATCTATTTACCTACGCAAGCCTACAGGCTGCAATAGAGAGCTGCCACCTGTAACTAATTAACGCAGGCAAAAACTACACAGCCACTGGCAGTGGCATACGTTACATGTTCACCGCAGTAGACGTTAGATGAGCGCTGTCGCTCCGCGGCACTTGTTTGATTTTTTTTTCGAATTATTTTTTTTGATGAAATCGATTATGGATTTTGATAACCAAGCGCTTGGTTCGAGCCACTGTTCAACCGATGATCGAGTATAATCGATGATCGAGTATAATCGATGATCGTGACATCACTACTGGTCGGTTTAGCATACAGATAGCTCGAGTATAGCTCTAGTACTATAGCCCGCGGGCAATGTACGCGGGCTATAGTACTAGAGCTAGCTCGAGTAGTACTAGACTATACTAAAGTTAGCATACAGAATCTGTGTACGGTAGCTCGCAGATACAAATATGTAACCCAATACTATAGAGCAGTAACCCTACTCTGTTTTGTTACATTTGTATCGAATACTATAGTGTAATAGCCCCGTAGTCGTAACTATATACCCCGTACTCGGTTTTGTTACTGGCTCTGTGCTGGTCCTCAGAATCGTACGTATTTTTTGCAACTACTTGAACTAGCAGTACGTCTTGTTGTACGTTCGTATGCTTCTCTAGGCTCTATGTCATCTACAATACCAATTTCCCAAAAATCTTGACATTGTGAAATTGATACAATAGGCGTGTTCACACACAAGAAAAACCGCGATGCTAATCGCGATGGAAATACCGAGATAATTGTGTCGTTGTTCACACAGGTGGAAATATCTCGCTAATCGCCGAGCGGGATAATTCTATTAATCTAACTGCGCATGCTCACTGCCGGAATGATGCTCACTGCGCATGCTCACTGCTCTCTCGCTTGGAATGATGTGATAGAAAATACCGGGATTATTTGCGGGAGTGTTCACACACACGCCGCGGTGCAAATAATCGCGCTAATTCCAAATAATCGCAGTCAAAAGTGCGATGCTGATCGCGATACTTAGTGAGATTTTTGCGTTCACACTTGTAATAATCTCGGTATTTCGATCGCGATGCAAAAACCGGGATTTGCATCCCGCTAATTCCCGCCAGTGTGAACGCGCCTAATGTAGTAGCTAGCAGGCCCGTAGCCGGGGGGGGGGTTCCCCCTGAGCAAAAAAAAAAGAAAGAAAAAAAGCCTCCATGTGGTGTTCGCTCCGGCCATCAAACATGGCAGATGCTGTGCATTTGTCACTTCAGACTGCTCAGGAAGAGGAGGGGCGTAGAAAAAACCAAGACGAAGACATTTTCACTGAAAAGGTGTTTTTTTCTTTTTTTTCCATTTGAAAATTTGCAAGAATTTCACCTCAGGTATGCACCAGATCGCTCCATTTTAGTGTAATAATTGCAAAATCTCCATCGTGCGGGAGTGGGGACACCCCTCTCCCACACCCTACCCCCGCTCGGTCGCAATGCTCCCTCGCTCGGTCGCTTTGCGCCCTCAGAAATTGCCAACATTGAAAAACAAACCCCCCCCTCAATATAAAGCTGGCTACGGGCCTGAGCTAGTAGTAGTAATAGATGTAGTGTGTCATTTGTGAGAATCTTGTCATGGGGCAGTTCAGACAGATTGTTATATTATTTTTATAGTTTCACATGTTGTCAGCAGAGGGCTGCACGGTAATGGCAAACAGCAAACGTCAAACAGTAAACGGCAAAGCGCGTGCAGCTCGCAGCTGCGGATCCCTCCTGGACATCATCTCTATCCTTGAACCGCAGCGGTAGCTAGATGCGGGTTGTGTTCATTTGACATTCATGGGGGACACTCCCTCACCGCGTGACGTTTATATTTACACAGCCAGTTTTGCTGCGCCTGCTTTGCCAGTGGCATAAAGAGAACGATGCGCGTCAGATGAGACCGGCTATGAAGGCGGTGATCTGTTACAGCCTGGATTACACTACATGATTCCCTAAATTTTTAGTGCGCTGTATGAAATTGGACCTGTCGCTGTGAGACTCAGCTCTGTTAGAGACGAACGCGCTAAAGTCTAAGCAGCAAGGTATGTAACCACTCAGGCTTAACCACTCAGTAGGTAATAAATTATGTTTTACATAAAACCAAAATGTGTAAAAATGTGCAATCTGATGAACCAAGCAGTAGGCCTATAGGGTAATATCTGTTAATGATATCAAGAGTAGATAATAACTCCATGTTATTATCTACTCTTGATGATATATAATCTTATCTATACTAGCTAATCAGCATTGTAATTTGTAAATCATGCTGCACAGTACTAGATGATGTTTACTTAGTGCTTACCAGGATAACCAGGCTAAGCTAGTGCTTGTGTTGATTTCAGATTAAACAACATATGGCTGTTTACAGAGAGTGTGATTCGCGATACAGTGAAGAATAGATGTGTCTTGCGACGTGTTATGTCACGTATAGTACGTTATTGCTCATGTAGCTCTAGAAAATATAGCCCTTCGCTCTGCCACATGCCTGTTCTAGACTCTATTGCTCATGTTGCATGAAAAATCTAAATAAAGAAGTAAACTATAAACACGGCTATTCGCAATCACCGTTATTGTCACATTGTTTCGCCTATATGGGGTGGGTATAGGATCATAGAAATCGCAGCCCAATAACCGGTTGTTGGGCTGCGATTTCTATGGGTAGGATAGTATTAGTAATGGTGGCGCAGACAATGACTGATCCCCAGGAGCATTCCCAGGTGTTTACTGCATGGTATAGCCACAAGGCAGCGGAGGGTGGGAGCTTATATTGATCGGTAACTGTACAAAGCAAGACACTGTTGAGGTCTGTTTATAGGTCCTACTGCAATCACCATGTATTAGCGTTGCGATATCCACGTATTATATATTAAACCACTTACATAGGTAGGTATTAGTTAGCACGAAATATGTCTTGTCTTGCTAGTTTTCATTTGCTAATGAACGAAATAATTGTTGTGATCAAATGGTAAACGGTAACTCTAAACCCTGAAAACATTCGATTTGTCTGCCAGTCTGTCTGTCCGTCTGCCTGTGTTTCTGTCTATTCCACTCATGCATGTATGCGTCTGTGTAATCTCATCCCATTTGTCCACCCATCCATCCATCCATTTGCTGATCTCTCTCTCTCTCTATATATATATATCTGACTATCAGTATTTCTTGTTTTCTCTACAGTTCAGCCTCGTACAGTCCTAGCCATGGAGGAGAGTCCGGTGCGCGTGGAGGGTTTGTCCGTTCAGAGGATATCTAGCTCATGGCGAGTTGTGCAGATCCTGCTGTACGTGGCGACGCTCGTAGGTGGCGCCGCCGTCTTCCTGTCGCTCAGCACGACGACGAGAGACTTCAACCGGGAGTGCATCCTGTATGCGGAGCCGCTCCTGGAAGTGTCCCAGTTAGAGGAGAATGGCTCTTCTCTCATCACGGTACTTCTCCGTACAGTGACTACAGTCCTGTGTCGCGGCTACAGCTGTCCGCTATCCAAGATACGGACTCTGTAGTCTTGCTGCAAGACTAGGTGCCTTCTGTGTTTCGTCATGGGCCAACCCTGCGATTGACGTTGGTGTGGTGTTGAAATACGAGTTGAATCGTGTTTTTAGCGTCGTCGACGTAAATGTTGCTGGTTTTTCTGCAAATGCGTTGAAATTTACGTAGTAGATTGAGATGGAGATTCCATGAATGAAATGAGTGAACCATTGCCAGAGCACAAAATTCACGGGGTTTTTTGGGTTTGGTGCTTAAATTAACATTTCCAGTTGTGATTTTTCATGAAAAGGTTTAAAAATAGTGTGCAGTTTGTCAGCGTTTTTGAACACATTGTTATAGATTGTCTCATTGTTTGTTTTTGTAGGTATTGTTAGAAAGCAAGTGGGGGACATTTAGTGTCTGCAACTACTGTACATATGTGTCGGTGGCTTCAGCGATCTACGCGTTTATATGGAGCTGGTTCTATTTGCTGTGCTCCAACAACAAGAAGAAAACTAGATCAATGTAAGTGACACTCTCTCGGCAATCGTATGACATGTGACTCTAGTTCTTTATTGTATGGTATTCTTATGATGAGAATCTGAATTGTAGGGTTCCATTTTCTGCACGGTTGATGCAAGGGTGGAATAATGGTGATATCACAAATTTTGATCACAGAATATATTTAAAGGCTGAAAGTTGATTTTATCACAAATAAAAATGGGTCGGTTGTTTACGCAACACGTCATCGTGTAGCATGATTCCTATGAAGTAAGGTTACTATAATATAATTTCCAGTAATAAATGCGTGATTTTCGCGCATTGTCGGTTTATAATTCGCTAACTAGTGTAATGAGAGGTGGATTCGTGTTATACTGAACGTAGGTACTATAAATTGGCAAAAGACTGTAGATTCACCACGTTGTGGATAAGCATCATTGTAAATAAACACCACAAGTGTTGAATAGCCAGCACATGTGGCCAGCTAACCTGGCGCATACATCAACAACCCAGCTGATGGGTGGGTGGGTGGATGGGGGTCCCTGGTTTTTTATTGAATGATTTAGTGATTCTAGTCCTTATATAAACGAACTTATTATTCATGGCATCAATTAATGTATTTATGTATGTGTGTATGCACATATATAGGTCATGTGGTGTCGTGTGTGTACATGTCATACATTCCACATGTTTACTTGGCAGATCTATAAGCAGTGTTGTATGTACATAGCAAACAAAAACGTGCGCGTATGTGTACACGCGTGTGTATACGTTTGAAGTAACATTGCCACAATATTTATTTATTTATCCTCTGTTGCCAAGCAATGTGTCAGTGAGTAAATATATTACACAGTTTACATGCCTAAGTAGTAATAAATGACTGCATTATCAGTGTTCATGGTTCGAACATAATTCTTACTGGTATCAATTGCTGTAATTTCACATAACTTTAAATGACTGAACGCGTGTGGTTTTATGGTCGTGAGTAGAGAAGTGTTGATGCTGGTGTAACATAAATATGTTGGCTACATGTCAAAATACACACACACATGTGCCCGTACTTGCACACTGTTTTACTCCTGAGATTGCTAGAAAACAAATGGATATGTATATATACATTACAGAAAGTGTAAATCCAGTAGTATTCTGGTTAATATGTTGAACATTGGTGGTTCAGTGAGTGTTTGGAATTAAGGCTTTTTGCCGAGGTTGATGACATTGAGTTATTCAGTTGAGTTGTATGTTTTATATATCTGTACTGTCTTATGCAAGAAAGCTATAACTGCTTATACGCAGCTCTAAAACGTTAATTGATGACATCAAAATCAGGGAAGAGAAATTCTTATCGTCCAGACCTAATTAATAATTGCATCCAAAATCTATTGGAATGCGTAATACTGATGAATTATTATATAAACTGTTTAATGCTCCAGGATCGGTATGATTTAACATTTCATCGTGTAGATACTATCGTGCATGATAAATCTATTTCTTTCATAGTAGCACTTTAAGTTTAGGTATCTTTAGAATATATCCGTGCTACTCCGTGTGATGCTGTTATATTACTAGTATACTAAATATCACATATTTTTCTAAACAATGTTACTAGGATTAATAGTTTTTGAGAGTTGAGTGTTTTTTACAGCTAGGTCACAAATGAGTGCTCGTATGACATTATACAACAGGGTGCGAAATTTACGGGAGTCCGGAGTCAACTACTCCCTGATTTACTGTCGGACTCCCTGATTTGACACATGCAGGAGTCCGTGTGACTCCCTGAAAATTCTGCTATACTAACTAGTTCATTCCAGAGCACGGCCTCGCGGAATTACCGTATTTTTCAGCAATTGTCCAAAGAAAATTTGGCAGATGTGTAATCGCATGAATCTTCAAAATAAGCATATATATGTGTTATTGTTAGTATTCTTTAGTTTTGAACTTCAGACTGTGGACTCCATCATTTTGCCGCGGACTCCCCTCTTTTTGAGGGCAGGGAGTCTGTTGGACTCCCTTGTTCAAAAGTTAATTTATACTCCTGATACAATAATGTACACACGAGGACTTTTTTCAAGTGTGCTACAGTCGATACATTGCACATCACGCTGAGGCAGTGCATTTTCAATGTGCAACAATTGATTTTGTAATTTTATATTTATGATAGGTGATACCTGGCAGAGTATACACGTTTAATATATATATATATATAATATAATATATATATATATATAATATATATATAATATATAATATATATATATATATATAATAATATATATCATATTCATACCTTAATACCCAGTACTGATTAAAATAATTTGTCTTTATTCATAATTATGAATCAATGCAATTTTTTTGGTTAAATTCTGTCATAGAGTCAATAGCATCCATGTTTTATGCAGTAAGTAAGCATTATGTATCAATGTAATATAGTTTTTGAAACTTGGTATGAAACTCAACGTATTCTTTTATGTGATTTTTTTTCGGAATCCTGCATTAATGCATAACATGGTGAGATACTAATGTTTTCTTTGAAGAATAGCTAGAACTGTCTTTAGGTCGTTACTGCAGTTTTCTTAACAGTCAGCTCTCCTTTTCACTGTACGCACCAGTCTGCACAATCTGTGCATTCTATTCGTGCAACTGTGATAAAGAAGTAACTCTTTGCAGAACTTTGTTGCCCAACACCAGGGCATCTGTTACATTTAAAACATAGAATTCTATTAGTTTTCTCTCTTCTGTTACGAGATTTGCTTTTTCCTCATTGGCTAAAATTTTGAACGCTTTCTTTTTAGGCGTTGTCACGACTTCATGTGCAAACACGCTTACTGCAAATCTTCTCTTTATTTGTGTCTACTTCATCATGTGTGACTTCCGGTGTTCAGGGTTAGGGTGTTTCTCTTTTTCCTCTTGCTCCTTTATTGATTGTTTACCTTAGCTTAAAAACATACACCATAGCTTAAAGGTATTATGGAAAAATTCTCGTGTTTCGAAGTGCCTGTTTTGCTTATTGAGCAGCTGAGTCTAAGCCATATTTGCGTGTTTATTTTTTGGTTATTATTAAGGCCCTTTTTTGGCCGATGAACATTCTTGCGCACAAGGCACGTACTGCACGAACTTTAGGAAAATGTACAGAAGCAAATGATAATTTGTAATCTGTCTTTCATACGCAGCTTTTTCATACTGCTAAATTGTAAAAGCATCTTACTGGCAAGTAATTGCTGATGAAACTCTATGCGTATAGTGCGGCATACATATGTCACTTGCAATTAAAACCGCATTCGGGTACCTACCGGCTCGCGAATATATACTCGCGTAATGGTCGAATGTTAGCCCAGCATAAATGTGTGAATTCTCTACGGTGGTTCAGAAGAACGACTATCAACTATAAACTATGCTATCAACGTTGGAAATTTCTATGATGCCGATATCTGACATCGAAGCGTGCGTGTCGCATTTTCAGGTTGGCTCACCCATCCAGCATCGTCATTCCCTCTCTCGTCTTCTCGGTCATCTTCTGCCTGCTCATGGTGCTGGCCAGTTACCTGCTGACGAAGGGATTCTATGTCTTCTGCAGAAATCTCAAGCAAGCGACTGGCGTAGATGAGTGAGTATAGCCTTTGTGTTTTCGATTAGCGTTTGTGTACGCTGTTTCCGCGGTAACTGTATATTTGTTGTTTTGTTAGCTCGAGATATCCTGTGAGAAATTGGCTGGCTATGGCGTATCCTGCTTGTCTCTAATACGTAAATTGTGGGAATTATCGATGGAAGTCGCAAGTTTAGGAAAATACGTCTGCTCTAAAAATAGACGTTTCTACTGATATATCGTGTTCCATCGTGTGACACATCAACGTTCCCATACTAAACAGCCCGGTCAGCAACTAGACTGAGAATGTCTCGCCTTTTTTATTTCCTGTATGAAGTGGGCAGGGGTGAGAGAGTCGTTTTAGAAGAGGATTGAATGAGGAGTGTATAACGTTAAGGCTGAATCTAGCATACGTCATTTTCAACCCTACGCAATGGTCATCAGCTTCAGAAATGACTTCTGTAATTTCATTAATCTTGGAAAATATATGGATTACTGGCAACTGGAAGCCTAGTTATAATCACAAGTGTACAACGATTGTGATTCGACTTTCAACGTTTAGAAAAACGGCAGCTATATATATCTAGTTTTTTTCTTATACGTAAAATAATTCCTGGCATCGTTGACTTTTTTCCTTTACTCGAGATGTATGCGCGAGTATATACGAGTGTTGTTTGCCGTGTGGGCGCGCGATCATGGGCCCGAAATTCACCGATTAAACTTAATCTTATAAACGATTCAGGGCGTGTTGGCGGGTCGTCATGCACGCAGTGAAGCTTCAGTGGTCTACTTCCGTTCTGCAGCATATAAGCTGTCGGTAGGAGAAGCCAATAAATTCACTGACTACTGATTTTTGCGCGGTAGGGTGGATGGGTGGCAGGTCTTAATCTGAGGCAGCTGTTTATCAAATTGTGAGTGAATCTAGCTGCCTCCTGCGGCTCGCTTTGGGTGTGGTCATAGAGGTTTCGCGTCTAATTTTAGCCCTGGCAGCTAATTTAAAAATATTTTGTATACCGTTCAAGGAATGCAAACTGCTTGGAATTGCCCGCAAAGAAGCGTAGTTATTTCTCGCTGGCAAAAGAAAGGAAAGTTTTCCGTTTCACCGCGTGTGATCAGATCCTATTTGATTAATTTAATGATGGTTTGTTTATTTATGTGAATGTTTGTGTTATTGATAAGTCTGTTTTAGAAGGCTCGAAACCTATCATTTTACCTCGTCTTTAAAAAAAAGATTTGCCACTTCCTAATTATAAACCTGGAAGTATTACATCGAAACTATTGATACTAACCCTGTTAGGAAACTCCTATCTCTATATTATAGTGCACAGCTGTGTTGTTGTCTGTCGTGAAACACGTTCGCAGTTTTGCTGGCGAGAATTGTTTTTTTATGGTTGGGAACCATATATCTATTTCCGAGCACTTCAAAGGGGACAAACAGTCAGCTGTTTCAACAGCCCGTGTAAAAATAAATCGGGTTCCTGCTGCTTGCTCGTGAACTCCCACTTAGTAGAGATGGATAGCTGATCCTTCTGCTCCGTTCATCTCTTACTATAGCTGAGAGGGTCTATGTCCCCCAGGTAAATATAGTTACCAGGGTACGTTTCGGTATACCGGATCGTACCCAGAGTACGTTCCGGCAGTACCCTGGGGGACATAGACCCTATCAGCCTTACTATATCTACGTGAGACCACGTCACCACGTGGAGCCAACAGCGGGAAGATATATCTTGTTTCCCTGTCTCGTTCATTCGTAGCCAGAATCGTATAATGTGAAGAGGCAAAGTGCCAAGGGTATACTAGCAGAGCAGTTTGCCCTTGGCTGGTCAGTGTCAATAGTGGATGACACCACCGTTGTTTGCCACCCTCTGCTGGTTTGCCAAGTAAATGGCCAGTCATGTACGTGATGCGCATGCTGCCGCGTGAGCGTGGCAATCGCCGTCAAGTGGTGCATTTGTCAACGCCGAGAGAAAATACAGCGAAGCGGTCGTCCTATCAGGTTACGGTCGACGGTGATCGTTGTGACAGATATGCGCAATGGTTATCGACCGCCATCGCTAATGTCTGCTTGTCCAGGGCACGCATTAGTTTGCTTCAGATGAAAGGAGCTTCTTGTCCTGCTGCGACTGATGCTCGTTAAGTCGGCGCTGATGGTCCGATTAAATATTCCCATTGTCGCCCGCTTGTTCTGGTAAGTAACAAATGTCTGTCCAGCTAGGTGATCTATGCACTTGCAGGCAAAGGGGTGGCATTAGGAGAGCAGGTTGAGACCACTCGTTGTTGGTTCTTGGTTGAGTGCACTTTGTTCGGAGAGCTAGGGTAAGCGTTATAGGGTAATTTAGAGCTGTTTAAGAGAAAGCGTGGCAGCAGAGTGCAGCTATAGCCTGTTAGATGACGCACTTGGCATCAGAATAAACTTCTCCTACTATATACTGTTGCCTGTATTGCGCCCGCTACGTAGGTAATGTTGTGTCTACGTTCTGCATAATAGTAGCACGTGATAATATCCGTTGTTGAGGAGGAGGTAGGAAGTATGCTGGGTGGAGAAGTGTACTGGGTGTGTTGGAATGAGTTACGGCCGTGGATTACATTGGTTGGTGTGAGCACTGTAATATGTTCTGATTGTAGGGTAGCGTGGGCTGTGATGTATTAACGCAACATTACGTTTGTTGGTGTAATATGGTTTTGTTTGTGGAGTGGTTGCGGCGGTGGCAGTGGTTCTGGTTGGTGGCAGCGGTGGCGGCAGTCGTGGGGGATCGATTGATTAGCTTTGTGTAAACATATTGAGCAAATAATATTTAACCATAATAATATATATCAACATATTCATTCACACCTGTGTGATAAGGTATTGCGGTTAATATCTTTTACATCTCCATCGTTATAGATCGGATGCGTATTTTCTGGGAGGTTGAGAACGTGTACTTCCTCAGGGGCGTGTAGTTTGGTGCTGCTTGCATACATGCAGTGTTTGGATACTAGTTGCGCTGCGGTTGCCTGCACTGCAGCTGTGTGCTTCAGGTCATGCTCATTATTATCATGGGGTTTCCATGCTGCCAGCGTATAGTACAACATACGCGTGCATAATACCAGGCAGGGGAAAAATTAAAATTTATTTTTCGGTGGCTACTTTTCAAGTTCGCGTGCATGAAAATAGCACTCTAAAATTTGGTTTGCATTGAACTCTATGCAAATTTCCGGGGGCTCTTTTTGGCATTTCCGGGGCTCTTTTTGGCATTTCGGGGGCTAAATCGTCCCGAGCCCCCGTGTATTTTTTTCACTGATACCAGAGGTGAATAATAACAAATATGTCCTTATTAACCCCTGATAATACGTGTGCACACTTTAATTCGTTCCTACGGAGAATACAGTGCGACATCTCGACATCTGTGTCATATTCTTCATACTATAAGTGACTATCTGAGTAATACTCTGGTGGCTTCACGGGTATGAGGGATGGTGTAAGAAAGGGCTCACTTCATCGCACGCAGGGCTTGTGTGGGTACTTAGAGTCGATCAAAAAGTGAGAATATAATACGAAGCATTAGGTAATTTAATAAGTATTTAATTATATCGCATCGATTAATGATAATAGACTAATAGTGTAGTCTAAATAGGGTAATTGATTAGAATGTTGTAGGAATATGTTTGCAGTTTTTCTTCAAGGTTCAAGGAATGTATAACGACGTACGAGCTTCTGTTGTTTCTACAGTAGTAGTAGCGAAAGGTAGAATCATAGAAATAGATATATACCTAGCTATAGGTATACATATCTATTTATATGGTTATAATAGAGTTGCAATCTTGCGAGCAAGGTGGCGCCAGCTAGCGGCTGGAAAATGTGCTGAGGCGTGTAGGCAGTGATTGATGATCCCTCGCTTGCTCCTGTTCCAGTTACTGGAGAGTATTGATCGGAACTGCTCGATAGCACCGGTACGGTCGGGTTAGTCTAGCAGTTAACACTCCACTTGCTGTATTCTTAATTAAATCGGCAGTCGGTGCCGATCTAGATGTACCGGTTAATCTCTCCTACCTCCCTGACTCTACTTTAATGCCTGGCCATATACTTCTTTCTCGTGGGGAGCATATAAACGAATATTACTAGTCATATATATGGCTCAGTGCTGTTGCAGTTATGGTTCTGCATTCTAATAATGTTATATAGGTGTTTATATGGTGCTGTTACATCCGGTGGGATTCTCGGTGGATGATTATATGACATTGCATGACCACAATAACGATATTCTTGTAAATCACATGATGTAATACCGAAATCATTGTATTGTTGCGGAAACCGTGTGTACGTGTGGTATAACAGATTTATAGCCTTGGTGATGTATTTTTTTCCAAAGTATTGATATTCTATGCAGCTCTATTGCTCAAATGGCTGAAGGGGATGTACGTGTGTGTAGCAGACAATCCACTGCCTAGTACTGCGTGCGTTGTCGCCTGTACTGCGTCATTTTCAAAATTTTCACCATATTCAGCGTGAGTATCGTAATAATTAAAAGCATTTGTTACACGAGAGTTGTTTCACCAACGGGAGTCAAAGTGACTGTGGAATTTCCCCACCTTTGCTCCTAATTCTAGTCGGTGATTTTGGGGGTCGATCCGGTCTTGCGACTGATTTTACGCTGGATCTTTGCACGGGATCAGTGTTCCTGTAATTGATATAAGAGCCACTTGCTGGTAGTACTAGGATGTAGTGAGTATGAGCACCACGTTTGAAAGACAACGTTTGCATAGCTAGCACAGTGATAGCTTGCTACATTGTAATAGACACCCAACTTAGTATCCACAGAGCAACGTGCTACACACCCGACTGCTCCAAGGTTTCTGTACAAACCTGTGGTCAGTATCATAGTGGGATTGCCTTAAAACCAGAAAAAAGGAAAGTGTAGCCACAGCTTACATGTTCAGCGTCAACTTACATGACTTAGAGGCATGAATTTCATGATTTCGACGTCGCGTCACAATGTCATGATCGCGAACAGGGAAAGCGCACTAAAACATTATTTTCGCCCAAATTTACATGATTTGTCCTGAATTTTGAACTTGCAGAAAAGTTGATTTATCTATGTGGTTATGCTTTATAATTTTACCCGTTCAAAAATTGGTTCTATTTTGATACCGAGGATATGTAACTGAGTGTTGGATACTTTTTCAGTTTTGATATTAGGCTGATTGGAAACCACAACATCTACTGAACAATTAATACTAATATACTCTATAAAATGCGATCATAAGCAAAAATCCCCATGGGTATCCCCATGGTCACATGTTGACTGGTATGCATGTCGCAAGCAATTTTTAGTTTGGTTAGAAAACGTTTGCCACTACCCAACTATCACTCCGTTTGTATGGAAATATCGTGCAGAGGGTCTGAATGGTGATGTCATTCATTATGTTGAACTCGGTCAAACTTGAGTTTAATGTGTTGTGTCAAAACTTGTGACAAATGTGCGACTCGTGAAACTCACATTTCATTGTTTTGTTTTTGTCGACAGGTGTAAGACTCTGCAGACTTACAGATGGGAGGGCATTGAGGATGGCTCCTCTTTCTACTCACTCATGTTTATGGCGCAGGTAAGCTACGACGTGCCAACACACCTTCTCCACAGCAGCCACAGCGAATACTCTTGCTATCGTTTATAATTATCCAGCAAATAGATGTGTAGCAATTTATGTTGAAATTAATGCGAAAAACAATCGGAGATGAATACATTCATGCGCATGCGTGCATCGTGTGCACATGTTGACGCCGACTGATGTGGTTCTCCTCGCGACGTGTTGCAGGTGTGCGGCTGGCTGACCGCGGCGCTCTGGCTTATCGCCGCCATCGTGCTCTTCGTGCGATGCGGCACCGCCACCGATTTCCCCTACAAGACGGTGGCGCCACCTACCGGCGAAGGCGAGCCGCTAGCGGAGGGAAGCTCGAAGGCCGGCGCGTCGCCATCTCCGCCGCCAGGTACGCCGATGATGTCCGGGGAGCCGCTGGAGACGGCGCTGGCCGTGGAGGTGGCGCCGGCAGCCGAGGGGAACGGCGATCGTAAGAGCGACGAGATCCCTCTCACCGAGATGAAAGTCTGAGCCGTGCGCGGCGATAATGGCGAGGGGGGGGCGAGGTTTTCCCGAGGATGGTCCGTGCGATGGTGGGGTGGGGTCGCTGCGATTCTGCGAGGGGGGATGAGGTTTGTTCGCGGTTGGTCCATGAGACGGTGCAGTGGGGTCGCTGCGATTCCGCGAGGGGGGATGAGGTTTGTTCGCGGTTGGTCTGTGCGACGGTGGGGTGGGGTCGCTGCGATTCTGCGAGGGGGGATGAGGTTTGTTCGCGGTTGGTCCGTGAGACGGTGCGGTGGAGGGTTGCGGCGATTGCGCGAGAGGGGATTCCCCATGGTTGGGGTAGGCCGGTGGTAGTCGGACAGGGAGAGGTAGAACGGGCGAGGACTTTGAGAGGAATTGGTCGCACGTCTTTAGACAGACATCGCTGTTGAGTCGGGGTGTCAGCAAAAATTACTCAGCGCGCGAGTTCAACAGGTTCAGAGTTTCAGATGAGTTCACAGGGCAATCGAATCTTACTTTGCATCCGAGTTGTCATCTAGAGTGTAGAGCAGAGTGTGTCTAAAGTGTAGTGTAAGCGCTAAGAATGAATTGGGGGCTTTTCCCTATGGTCGGTTAGTCGTTTTCAGTAGAATTCTAGTCAATAGTTGAAGCATTGTTGTATACTTTGCTTTTCTGAGGATAGTGGGACGCGTTGCATGCAATTAACCGTAGCTATAGGTTGATCTCTTATACACGTATATTATAGAAACACCTAGCGTTTACTGTCATATCTGTCATACTGCATTACAATGGCCTGTGAAACCTGTAATTTATTATACTCACACCAGTCATATCGTTTGATGTGGTGAGTGTGTATATAAATCTAGAAAAAGTCATGGTCGAGCCATTAGAAGTTTAATTAGTTAGCTTCTGCTGGTTCTTACTACAGCTGTATGAGCCTTGATGTTGTGATTTGCATGTAAATACGTGTAAACGGAGTACAGAAGTTAGATTTGTGATTGAGGTTAAAGCGATTGTCACTGCTGATGTGATACCAGTAAGGCATTATTAAAACTGCTGGCTATGCATATTCTTATACATTTCTCTGGCTGCATTGGAGCAGTGCACATATAGAACATTTAGAACGTTTACGTCACTATTATTCTAGTCTGTTTAATAGTCTTTCTTGATAGATATCCTTTATCATATTTGCAAATGCCCTCTTATCGTATATTATTGTGACTTTTAAATGTAGTTTAGCAAGAGAACCTATACCGGTATAGAGTAATAGCAATAATAATACTTGAATCGCTCGTATGAAGGTACAAGTAATTCGTTGTCATTTTAATCTTTATTGCTTCCCAACTATACTATGGTCACAAATGCTACGCAACACCTATTCGCATTGAAATCATGGTGAATATATCCTTACTGCTGTGACAATTTTGATCCATTCGGTGCGTAGGAAGCACGTTCACGATATACGTCCAAACTATACTGCTTTTAAGAACAAATAATATGAGCTACTAAAGGTTCTGATACGTACTTAATTACTACTAAAGAGCTACTAAAAGTTCTGATACGTCTATGCAGGCGCTGCATGCTCACCCCGTGTAAGTGTTTCAGTGGTAGATGTCTAAATGGTGCGTCAGCTTTTATGTCTTTTATACTGGCTACTAGCTGGCGATTAGGAACACACTCAACACAGTAATGGAAAAAAGATATAGACTGTAAAGACTGTTTTTCCATATGCCGTATCGTGGCATGACACGTTGCCGCCCAGGTGGGAAATACCTCATTATGGCGTCATATTTGTTCTTTGCGAGTAGAGGCAGACATTTACCTCTCGTCGCAGTGACACTAACCGTTCCTTACACGTTTACTCAATTTAATATAATGTCGTATTTATTAGATATCGTACGTACAATCAGCAGGGTAATTGCCACCAATTTTGACGCATCTGATGCATTCGTAGACGCAAGTATATGTGTAAAGATCTTGCATGCGATCGATTAGGTATAAATTGTGTGTACCCTCAACCTTGTATAGTTCCTGTCACATTCTTATGTTTAGACGTGGGAAAAGTAGGTTACAGATTGAAAGGTTTATATCGGCACATTGTCGTTATGCAAGTGAATAAAAACAAAAGCATGTTCTTATTCGCGCCTGAAAGTATTGTATGCGTAGAACGTCGTTATCGTGAATAGATTTTGATGGTATACAAGGGAGTTTTTTTGGAGGAAAATGCTTAATTTTCTGATGCAGATGTTATGCTACAGTAAGCAGAGTCAGGTTTCTCTTGCTTACGTAATTACAATATTTTCTTAAGGTTGCCAATCCCCGTCGGACGAGGAGAAAGAAAGTGCGCCACTTGTTTGTAAGTCGTGATAAATGTCGTATCTGGTCGTTTGAATGGGAAACATGGTGAAGGACATTTATAACTGGTCGTGGCTACACCTCGGGATTTTTGCGTCATCTCGCTTGCATGCGGTTAAAATCATAACTGGTGTAACCCTATAACTCTGACCGTAACCCTAACCTTAACCATAATAGTAAGTTAGTAACCCTAACTAATAAAATTCTTACCTTTTTTTAAACAAAATTTGTGTAAGAATTGAATATACCACGAAGGAATCTACATAAAGTGTCGCAAAGATGAATCGAGATGTGTAGCTACTCGGATAATAATTATTAGTATAGGATATGTTGCTAATAGCCGGTATATTGGTACTTTACCAACGTTGGGTACTAAATCCTACGTACGTGCATGTGGTGATGTATTTCGTCTTAAAAAACGTATAATTGCATGCATTGTTTTGTCCGATTTTAAGTATTTACTTTGTATATGGTGTTTTCGTTTGCTAATATGGTGGCTACTGTCATGATAGTTGTAATCAAATTTAATCAAGAACAAATAATAGACGTGCTGATCAATGACAGACAGGCATTAGTAGATCTGGGTATGTAGAGAATGGAGGTCGTCATTGAAACGTCGTCAAATTGGTGTGCATTGCGCGATAGTGTAAATTAGTAGGTAACTATTGTTGGGGCTTATACGAGAACTACGTCATGAGTAACATTCTTAACAGAAGTAGTAGTCCTAAGGAAGTAGTTTGTGAGAAGGGCATGAAACGAAATCAGTTTAATTGAGGGTGGGATTGCTTTAAAATGTAACGCTGTACTCACAACCGCAAATCTCCGCCAATATTTTGCTGTAGGGTGTCGCATCTTGTTTATTGATTTCACATTACACCTGGACGCAGAAGCGGACAGCAAGAATACTCTGCTGATATCTGCACGCGTGTATGTATGTATATATGAGTTCGTCTCACCTGTCTGTGTATATGTTAACATTGTGCAGTTATCTTGAATGGCAATAGATCAACTTGTGTGACAGGAGTATATGTTCAGGCTCTTCTTTTTGTTTTCTTTTTTCAGGGCCCGTCACCACGAAAAAGCGGATGCTTTTGTTGTAGCATCGGTGTAATATCAGTAGCCTGCTATCATATACCTGCTAAGTAGTACGTTCATGAAAATTATCATAAAATATGTCATTGCCAGTGACAATATCGCTAAATATATCACTAGTAGTGATGTATTTTTCGAATGGTATGCTCAATAGTTACTACTGACTTACATAATTAACAACAACATCAGCCCACCTTGATACTGGCATTAACGTCAAGCGTATCGTTGATAGACAAAATGTAAATTGATGACACTATACTGGTGACACTAGTGTTCGGGTACTAAACTCCAGGCAAAAGACATTATGTACAGTATGCTGCTAAACCAGCCTGCTACACAATACTCAGGTTACTATTTTTTTTTTTACCGTGATATTTGTTTTTCGAAGTTATCAAGCAAGAGCGATAACCACATTGTAGAATCTGAGCGTGAATACATTACCAAGGACTCGAATTTGGTACCGGCCTCCTAATACAGTAAAAACCCGCGTATAAGAACCTAGTGATTAAAAACCTGTTAGGCTAAGATTTTTCATTTAGACCCCCTTGACATAAGAACCTGTTGTAGCCTAAAATTTGAAACAGGTTCTTATTTGATAAAATTCAGTTAACACTTTAAAATTCATAAATCAACTAAAACAAGTTCTTGGTGGTCTATATACCTCTATTATGTATAAAGGGCATAAAAAGAAATAAGAACGTAGATTAGGGTTTGTATTTGTCTAGATTGCAGTCATTTAGACATAATTATATGAATATTTTGTATAAACAATGGACCGCACCAATATTCTACCAGCCACAAGCACCTTTTTAGCTCACCTTGACATCGTCAAGCTGAGCTATTGCCATGGGTCATCGTCCGTCGTACGTCCGTCCGTCCGTCCGTCAACATTTGGCTACGGTCAACGATAACTCAGGAACCGTTTGACCCACATGTTTGAAATTGGATATAGTTGTTACTGCTATGCTCCCATATTAAACGTCCTATTTTGGAGCACGCCAGTCGACGTACTTTCGAGCCACGGCAATGGGCAAAAATGGGAATTGCCATTAGTCAGTTCAGATTCAAGGGATTTTGCTCATTTTTGGTATGTGAATGAATAAGGGCTAGGGGTTTTGATATTTAAATTTTTTTATGCAAATTAGGTAGGTTTTGGCAATTATATAGCATATTATATAGACACGCAGATAACAAACAGTCTGTGGTGTCACCTTCGTCTGGTTCGTTTTACAAGATTTCATTGACAATATCTTTAATGCAAAATTCCTGCTATGAACATATTATGATTTATACTATTATTATTATTATAT